TATTATTTTGATAGATACTTATTGGAAATAAATTCTTCATACATAATATAATAATTTTTGTAAAGAGATGTAAATATGTATAGTTAAATAATATTTAAAAAAAATATGTATATAATTATGATTATACGATCATAATAAGTATTGCGAGAATGAAAGGATGGTTTGGATCGTTGGATTTTTATGTAGGATTTAAAATTTCTTATATGATTTGGATTTTGAAGTATTTTAAATTAGATGAAGTTTTATTCGATTGTAGTTTTGCTGGTAAGTTATGGATTGGAATTAAAATCTACCATTTGTAAATATCTGTTTGGATTATAAAAGTATCACTTATTTGGATCGTATATGTGACAAATAACAAATTTATCCTTTATGTTGATATATGTTATTTTATTAAATAAACAAAAAGAAATTCTATGTTAATGATTTTTTATGTTGGTAACTAACTCCTCTTCATTCTTCCCAAGGAACAGACAACCCTACATCTTTATTTGTTTTTTGATCTATTAACTTGAAATACATAATTTTTTAAAAAAATATTGATCTTTAAAATAATAAAGGTGTATTTTATATATAGTTTCATCAACAAAAATTAACATTTTTAATAAAATAAGTTTTCGATTTAAAAAAAAAAAGCCAAATTAGATGCACAAAGTGGAATACGTGGGAATAAAGTAGTGATCGGCGGGAGCAATAGTAGATTTAATGGTTTAATTTTGAAGAATAATTTTGTCATCATTTTAGTAAAAAAAAAAAAAAAGAATTCAAATTCTTTGGTGTATCCCTATGAATGATGATTAAAATCCATCAAGTATGAATCCAAAGAAGCAAATGATTCAGTGGTAGTGGAGTCATTTCGAGGCCCACCATGAGAAATAAGCCCACCATGTGCTCCTTTGAGAATTGAGAATGTCCACAAAATAAATGTGCCTTCTAAAAATAGTGGACATCACTGTTAGACTTAGAAACGATATTTTAAAACCCGTTTTTTTAGTTGAATATGTATGATTATTGGTTTCCGGTTCGGCTATGGGGCCAATTGGTTTCTACAATTTTTTATAATTTTTTTTTAAAAATTTTCTACGCATATATACATACATACATAAATCAAAAATTTGACGTCCCATAAATCCAAACATTAAAAATATACATAAAACAACGTGTAGATCAATTCAACTATATTAAAAAAAGGCATAATTTTGTATATACCATTGCTAAACATCTAAATATAGTATTTGTCTGACCTAAACTTTAAATATCATACCCTTTCTTAAAGTTTTTTAATATCATATATATCCAAATCTGATTTTTTGATAACTTTTAACATTTAATAATCCTTTTATATAATCTTAAATCATTATAATTAAAATAAAAGATGAATGGACCATAATGCCCTTTAATCTTAAATTCCTTTTGACTACCTGATACATCGATCGTATTTCTCCCCACCCCCCACAGTGGCGGAGCCAGTGTCAAAGTAAAAGAGTATTCCGAGAAAAAAAATCGTGTAATATACAATAAGAAAAAAATAAAAACCGCAATTTCATTAGATATAAACTTCAACTTCTATAATAAAGTTACGTTTTAAAGTTAACCTCTCCGCTCTTTCATTTTACGAAAGCGAATAATTACATTTTCCGTCTTAACATTCTCTAGTGCTTCCTTTTCTACACTACAAATCAAAGCACCATTCATAAAATCGTCACTTATTCTATTACGCAAATCGGTCTTCAAGAACTTCATTGCAGAAAAACACCATTCAACGGTTGCGGTTGCGACGGGCAAAACCAAAGTTAGTTTTAATAATCTATAAAACAAAGGAAAAGAGAGGTGCATCCCAGTTTCCACCGACAAACGAGAGAGGTCTGCAATTCCCTTCAAGTTGAAAAATCTCTCATTATTTAGCAAATAGTGATAATAGATATCAAGTTCCCCATTAAGTTGCGCCCTTTCTGAATCGTCAACCTCGTTTTTGTATATCTCGCTTAACTTTAACAACTTTGTTTTATCAAAACTAGAAAATGAGTCGCAAGGACTCAAAGCCGCCATGTTTTCCATCAACTCCGTGCCAACTTCACTAATCTATCCCCAAATTCTTGAATTTGTATATCCAAAACCGTGTTAAAAATCACAACTTCAAAATCATGTTGATTAGTCTTATTGGTCCTACACTTTCGTGGGGTAACATAATATTCTGACATGTCCACAATTCCAATACTATGTTTTTCACAAAAAGCACATACCTTCTTCTAAATTTGTGGAAACCCATCTTTTCTAAAAGCTAGCAATGCTTTCTTTGTCCTTTTTACTAACGAAGCCGCTTCCAAAATATCTTGATCTTTTTTTTGAAGATGCTTTGACAAAGTATCCGTGAGGCGTAGAATTTCCAACATCAAGTGTAAAAGAAACACAAAATCAAGTGTTTTGAAATATGACAAAATACCATTTTCTTGATTACGGTTAGATAAAGTAGACCCCTCCTCTTTGACATATTTAATGACCGCAACAACTTTTGAAAACAAATTCAAAAAACTTCCAATTGTTCTAAAATGTGAATCTCATCTAGTATCTCCAACTCAAACAAGAAAAATCTCTTGCTTCAACCCTCCTCCTATTTCAGTTTCACTAATACCAATTTCGGCTGCCACTCTTTCTTTTTGCATCTCTCGTATCATATCTTTTCTCTTACAAAACCCACAAACGACAGTAACCACCAAACCTAGTAGTTCAAAAAATTCTTCAACATCATCATGTTATTTTGCAACTGCCACAACCACTAATTGAAGTTGGTGTGCAAACCAATGCATATAATGTGCGTAACTGTTTTCATTTAAAATCAAAGATTTCAAACCGTTGAATGCACCACTCATATTACTTGATCCATCATAATCTTGCCCTTCACCTATATATTTGAAAAAATTAATAAAAAAAATATAACACATAAAAATAAAATTAAAATCATGTTAAAGGAATACATATTTTATGATTTCTCACCTGATCGATAGTCAAGTTGTTGTTGGAAAAACGGTATCGATGACGACTTTAAGAGTCAAAGAGGATGTATCCAACACGTGAACAACTCCGATAAATCTTTCCTTTACAATCCCAAGTCTGTCAACATATCTTAAAACTATAGCCATTTGTTCTTTTTTGGAAACTTCACTAGACTCATCAACTAATATACCGAACGCATCTATACCAATTTTATCACAAAGAGACTTGATTATCTCTTTTGAAAAACAATTGACAATATCTTTTGGAATCATCGGAGAAGTCAACTTTTCCTTTTTTGGAGCATTTTCTAAAATAACTTAAAAAATATTCTCATTATCTTCTCTAATCAAAGATAAGACTTCAATGAAAAGTCCTTTATTATTAGACTTTTCCGTCTCATCATGTCCACGAAATGGTAATGCATTTTTCAATAAAAATCTACAACTACGGATTGTAGCACGTAATCGAATTTCATAATTACCTTGCTCAAGTTCCGTTTGCTTATGCAAAACCTCACCAATAGATTGGTTTTTTCTCAATAACAAATGACACTTTTCTTCGGCCTTTATTGTGAGAACTTTGAATCTCACCCATATGTTTCCGGAATGAGTTTTTTACTCCAATTATCAAAGCCTTCGGGTATAAATGCATATTTTCCACCTTGACCCCCTACCATGTCTCTAAACAAGTAGCAACAAAAACAATATGTCTTTTTTTAATGCTATACTCTAACCATGGAAATTCCGTAAACCATTCCACAACAAAACGTCTTTGCTTCTCACCAAATAAGGTAAATTAAAAATTATGCCCCTTTGGTTGACAAGATCCTTTAATCAAATATGCCCTCCATATTTCATCCATTTGATTAGGATTATAAGATGTAATCTTTAGCCTCTCCCCGGGGTCCGAAGGAAGATCATTCAAATCAAAAGATTGTGACACTTTTGGCTTTTTAGTTTGCTCATTAGATTGTGGTTCTTATGGTTTTGGAATAGGTTCATTAGATTGCAGTTCTTGTGGTTTTGGTGTATGTTGATTAGGTTGTGGAGCTTGTGTACTTTCATTAGCCCTATTTTTTTTGAAGTTCCTTCACCATTGTTGTCTCCAACATCTAATTGTGTTTTGAAAAAATTGTTAATAACAACCTACAATCAAAATATATCAACAATCAACTCTAATTCTATAACTTGATTTCAAGTTTCAACAACAAATAGCAACCTACAATCAAATTATCAAAATATATGAACTATAAACTCGATCTCACGTTTTAACAAAAAATAATCACTAATTATTGACCCTAAGTCTCTAATTTAACAATCCTAATTGGTAATTTCTATTTTTTCAACACAATGCCAAAAAATTGAATTTCAATTAACCAAACAATAATCACAAAATTATCTACTTACTTGCTTCATTAGGCACCACTTTAATCAATAATCACCCACCCACCGACCACCAGGGGATTTCGCCGGAAAACATCCACCACCGGCCACCGATTGACGGCAGAAGAAGGAGGGCAACAACGAGTCGTAGAGGCAGGGAGGGAAGCGAATTCGGAAGTCACGATAATTAGATGCTAGAAATTGACGTTAATTAGCTTTTTGGTATTAGGCACTTGGGCTTTAAGTTTGGGCTACTTATTAATTGGATTAAACATTTACTAAAACATAAAAAAAAAAAAAAAATTAGGGTAGCCCAAAATATATTTTAGACTTTTCCTGCAATATAAACAATAATTTTCAGAAAAAAATTATACTATTAATTTTTTTGGGGCCTCTTGTGATACCTAAGATCCTTAATTGGATCCGCATATGCTCCCCCAAATCCCCAATTGCTTGTTCCTCTACCTTGAACAGAAGGAATATTATCGACGCTTCCCATGTTTTCACAAACATTCATTATGAATGGTTGCACAAACATTCATATTATGTTGAAGAATTCTCCATTTGGGCTTCTCTAATTGCAGGTAGCGACCACAGACTCTGAAAAGGGTAAAGAAGATAAACATGCGTACAAATGATGCGAAGATAACCATAGAAAATGGTATCACATTCTTTGTAGATGCAGCCATAGTTGCTATCCCTTTAGGTGTTTTGAAATCAAACACCATTACTTTCGAACCAAGACTACCTAAATGGAAGGAGGAAGCCATAGCTGACCTTGGAGTTGGAATTGAGAACAAGATAATTTTACATTTTGAGAAAGTATATTGGCAAAATGTCGAGTTTCTAGGAATAGTTACAGATACTTCATATAGATGTAGCTACTTTCTTAATCTTCACAAAGCTACATGTCATCCTGTTCTTGTTTACAAGCCTACAGGAAAACTAGCAAGAGATATTGAGAAAATGTTAATGAGGCTGCAACTAGGTATGCTTTTACACAGCTTAAAAAGATTCTTCCAGATGCTTCCACCCCGATAAATGTACAAAAAATCGACTTACTTTCATGTTTACTAATCGAACACGTGTATACTGAATCTTTTTTCTTCTTTGATTGGGTTCATATAACTATGATACAACAGGAAAACCCATGATTTGTATGATAAGCTAAGGATTCCTATGGATAACTTATCCATTGCAGGGGAGGCAACTAGCCTGCTTTAACAAAGACCAGACAGAGTTTATGTGGCTTTCATTGAGTTCATTATGCTTCGCGCCAGTATTATCATTTATTAATGTTGTTTTAAATGTAAAAAATGGTTTTTATAGTGTTTTTTGTAAGTTTGTGAATTCACGTGTTTATGTTGTGTGATTGTTGATTGACGGGATTTTGCTGCTGCGATCCAACCTGCAGCAGAAAGGGTTTATACGATTTAGAGAGTAAGGGTATTCTTGTCAATTTAGTTATTTTTTTCAATTTTAATGATTTTAAATTGTAAAAAAAGATTATTAAATGTTAAAAATAATCAAAAAATTAGATTTGGGTATATATGATATTAAAAAACATTAAGAAAGGCAAATATCATATTTAGAGTTTATGCCGGACAAATACGACATTTAGATCAATCCACGTACATCGAAAATAAAATAACGTATAATACCAAAACAAAATATAGTTTATATGCATACAAATGCATAAAAAAACTTTATAATATTTACCATGTGTTTTTATTTAGATAAATCTAGATAGATGTGAAAAGACTACCAAAGTTTGTCATACAAAATGTTTCATTGTCATATGTTTTTATTCAATTTAACCAGTTCAATTGAGTTTTTGTAAAAATCAGCCGGTTTGTTTCGGTTCAGAAGTAGACATAAAACCGGTGTTTAGTTGAACCGTTCATTTCTTCGGTTCTCAGTTCAAACCGGTTTTTAAAACATTGCTTAGAAGTTGCTTCCTCTATAAACTTTTTTCATCTTCCATTGAAAATGATCAAATATTCAAATGACAACTTTTAATCTAAGATTTAACATATATTATATTTATTTATAAATCCATATGATATTTTACAAAAGTGAACATGTATTGATTTGATTTGGTTTAATTTTGAATTAAAACAAAAAATCAAATTGTTTAAATTTACATCTGACTGAAATCATGTTATTTGATTATGCGACTGACTAGCTATGTTGAATGATGAAAATGAAAATTTTACTCTTCTACTCTATTTGCAACTCAACATACATCTATTCATAACAAAAAAAAAAGAGTTGCAACATCTTAACATCAAATGATACAAATTCATCCTTACTACATAAATACAAACGTAACTATCAAATAGTATCATTGAATATATCCAAGTAACAAGTGCATAGAGTCCCTGAATCTTTGGTGAAACCCCTGTATGCAACATTAGATGAAAAAGATCAAACCCCATGTCAAAAAACGTGGCCCATTACAACATTGGATGAAAAAATCCAACCCCAAGTCATTAACAAATGTTTAGAGCATCAAATTGTAATTTTTTTTACACCTAAAACAAAGTGATAGTTAAAAGTTTAACATAAAATAGTACATGGATGTTATGTGAAATGTACAATTTTCTATTCTTTTTTGTTAAGTTGGTTTCTTTTAACTAAATGAAGAAACAAAGACTAAATAGAGAAAGGTGGGGGATATATTATGTTACACAACATGTTTTTGATATGTTATGCCATCCGTGTGTTACATCAAGAAAGTAACTTGATATTTTTTCTAAAGTACGCAAACACATATGTAATTGGCTGCAACCAACAAACCAAGAAACTCGTCAATTAGAAAAACACATATAAATGCATATGTTACATAATTAATTGACAATACTTAACTAATTTACTCAAGGAATCGATCATCAATAAAAATAGAATAGATTCATTCAACATATTACATAGTACATAAACCACACATAATCCACCTTAATAAACATGTACCTAAAGCTAATATTTGAATAAGGATCTAAAAATCAAACTCTTATTTCTTTTAGGCATTATGTCGATTGTCGAGCATGTGGGTGACTTCATTGAAACGTTTCATTAGGCCTAAAATGTTGAGGATTTATCTATAAACCAGTTCCAAATACAAAAGAAATCTAATATACATGAGAGTCAAGAATCAAAAAGAGGATGAATATCATGTACGGTGAAAACAAAGTTAAGAGTTAGTGGGCAGGGGCATAAGAAGAAAAAAGAAACTGGATGAAGCTGTAACATCAGTTTTCAGGTATTGATTCTTTGACATCAAAATACTTAGGGTAATCTTCGTTTTCTATGATCCTTGTCTTTGCATTAATTTTCACTTGCCTCATATGAATCATGGTTGCGTGGAATACATGACACACCAATTAATTCCTCCATAATGGGTATTCCACACCAATTAATTCCTCCATAATGGGAAGTTTCGGCTGAAACCGTTCCTCTCCATTTAGGATTTGAACGTTTCCTCTTCTTTCAACCAACATTCAGAAAAGCGATAACTGGAATTGAATAAGAAATTTAGTTCCTTTCCAGCTTCCACAGTTTCGAGAATGTTTAAGAATTCCATCAATGCTTATCCATGCTATTCATATGATAAATCAAGTTGAAATTATCATAAGAACTAATGAAAGATCCAAGCATAAGATCTATAAACTCTTGTTAGGGACAACATTGAGATTCTTGAGTTTGTCTATGTAGCTATCATTGAGCTTATACAAAACTCTCTCCTTTAGCTTGCATGCAATTAGGAACTTTTGGTGATTTTTAAATCACTCTTGCCTTGCATTTTGATGAAACATTTCACTCAATTTCAAATTCATTTCATATGTCCACATATTCACAAAAACCCTTTGGAACATCGAGGACATAAATATGCAAGAGACCTTATTTGAAAAATCGACATGTTTATGGGAATAACAACTTTTCAAAGTTGACACATTATTGATTTGAAGGACATGCACATCGAGGGCATCATTCCTTTCAAGGAATATTCCATAACAAGTGAGCAATTCACGAGTGATAACAGAGAGAATCTATAATTCAAATGTGCGCGAGGAGGTAGGAGAGGATTTCCATCTAACCTAAGAGAGAAAGTTTAAAGAAGTTGATTCAATCCTTAATTATTAACCCAAATTTAAATTAAGGCTATAATCCATATTTTCGATTCGTAACATGAAGAGGGATGTCGTAGTCACATCACAAATCTATTTTAGGTAGGTAAACCACTTCACCAATTTCAATCACAATGAAACTCCTAGATCTCTTGAGATTCATTGAACAATCATTGACATGCTAATCTTGGATTATGCTATTCTATTTGTGATTGGGATACCGAAGATCCAAAACAAGATTTGAATAACCATGCAAAGCCGTGTGACACCCTCGATGTCATGTATGATCTCACGTTGACGTTCCCGTTAACCACACACACTCCATCAATAATCATAAATTTTGAGTATGTACTGTCATTTCAACTTTGTGGTCCAAATTAGTGTGCCGGTTACCCACACACGCTCCACTAACGATTCACCAAGAAACAATGTGTGTTTTCATGGATTAGCATATAATTTCTTATTTTTCCCAAAGTAACTATAGTGAGATTTTATAGAATGTTATAGTACTTTTACAATATACTTTTAATGTGATTAGTCTTCCGTCAGAACCCTTTCGGCTAACGACACTCCACCGCACAAAGAAGAGGTGGGTGAAAATTACACTCATTCAATGATCATTTTATAGGTCGTTTCCTTATACCTCTCTTATAGTGTGGCTTCATGAATGAGGCATAGTCTTGGCTCAAATGAGGTAGTGTTTTACATATAGTATTATAACTCTTGGTTAAATTAATTTAATTAACCCTTAATTAATTAATATTCAAACCAATCTTAGATTTAATGTGTATCCTTTTAATTAAACATTTAATTAATTATATTAAATCTTTTTAAGGATTAATCAATTATCTTGAATAATCTTATAATTAAATAATATTAATTCCTTTTATACTTCCTCAATTTTCGAATTAGGGTTTTATAATTATCTAGTCTAAAGGTTCAAATTTTAATCAAATAAAATAACAATCAAGATATAATAATTATCCTACAATTCGAAAAAGGCAATTAAATCCCGAAACCAGACTATAGCCAAAAGTGTGTCGTGCCAAATAACAGGCGCGCTGCACCCTGTGATTGTCAGGTTTTCTCGGTTTCTTCAGGTATCGATTTCCAGTTCCATATACGCACAAATAACAGAAAATCCTAGGCTCCAATACAACTAATAGGTTTTCTAGGTTACAACAAGAATAAATTACGCAGCGGATTCATAATCATATTATGGGTACATGCAACCTAGAAGTTTATGACATTTTCTCAAGTTATAGCAACATACTTATGAAACAATCAAATTAACCTACTTGTAATCTAAATTCACAAGGATTATTATACATACCTTTTGTTTTAATCGAATACAACAAATCATATCTTTAAGTCTTCTAAATCTCCATGGAAAGCGAACATCCAATATTATGATTGTCTCTAATGGTTCACAACTAACACCCTAGAACACTAGAAAAATAAGAGGAGAAAGATTGGAGGAAGATAAAGTCCTTTCTCCACCTTATGAGAAGAGAGGACCAAGAAAATTCGATTCCCAAGGGGTCCTATTTATAGTTAGGGAATCTCCAGGATACACCATAATTTGAATAATAAATTAATTAGTTTTTATCTATTCAAGGCAATTATCTTTATCAATTATAGGAGGCTTCTAGAAACCCTAGAAACCCCTCCAAAACCATCCGTGCCCATGGAGGGTTTTATAATTACCTTTCCTTGCTCAATTATGAGCAATTACAATTCAGTCCTTACACCTTTAATTAATTCCAATTAATCCCGAATTAATTTTAGATTAATAATTAATTACTTCCAACCATTTCTAATTTATTTATTAACTATTTATAATTAATATATTAATCATATAATATATTAACAAATCATTTTCTCTTCCTCTCTCTCTCTCTTAATATGAATTCTAGC